GTCTTTAATGCATGCAACAAAATATTTTCGGATTCATTGCTTTGCTTCACAATGGCAGTAGAATAAACTATGATGGAGTCCTCTAGACGGGCAATTTCCACTAGTCAGCTATTTGATTTTTTTCAGTATGTCATTATGCTATGTTATGCCTCAGATTCCTTTTATAACCTCCTGCATACACATAGAAATCAGACGTGCAGGAAACATATGACCACAGGGGGCTTGGAGGTGAGGGTATTCGGTCCTTAGCAGCATGTTGCATGTTACACCCTACTTACGGGTGTAACAGGTAACCTGTTTCTAAAGGTGAACCTATCCTTTAACTAATGCTGGCAGTCACCTCTTTATACTAGAGTTACACAGTAAGCTTTACAAGTAGCATGTAGTAGCAATCCATTTTGCATGATTGCACAATGCCCCAGATATGTGCCATTCATTGTTTCAAGATGTTACCGCATGCTTCTTGTTTGGCTTAGTACTAGAATACTCAGGGAATCTGGAAGTTCTAATCTCACTAGTTAAGGTCAAATAATGAAATATGCATTTTTGGTAGATGCACCATGTAATTGGGAAATTCCTCTACCCTGTTTTTCATTAAAAAGGCATGATATTGGGGAGCAAAGCGCCTTATGACCTTGCCCTTTGTTTTGGCTGCAACAATCTATAGATGATGAAACATGGTAATAGAACCATCTGGAGTGGTGATCACACCCAGGACAGCTGTTACAATAAACATTACATCATAATATCTAGGATCGGATAGAATAATAAATAATAAGGGTCCAATGTCAAGAACAGTTATATGTTATCCGCTTTCTACAGGATGACAGTTTCCATTAAGAGATTTCTTCCAAAGTTAAATACGGATTCCGCACATCTGTTCTAATCTCATTTACTGCTATCAGAGCTCAGTTTTCATTCCACTGCAGTAAACAAATGTAAAAGTTTATCATACGAAACATGTATATAAATATTTGATGGTTTTTGTACTGGAAAACTTTTTATTTTTTTTTATTTTTACGGTTTGTTGAAATTAACCTGTGTCCCCCAAAATAAGTGTACTGAGTAAAAATATTGCAGAGCCTCTTCTACATCTGAATGAAACCATCTAGATATTTATTTACTGCTTTTTAGAGATTTGTAAAAACAGTAAAAAAAATAGAACAAGAAACAAGCTGACCATCACCTCAAGTGGTCCTGTCATTTCTGATGCATGGAACACAGTGGTCCCCCCCAAAAAAAATGGCCTTGGTGATCCAGTACACTAAGACTGATATTAAGAGGTGTTTACATTTTATTAATGTGGTACAAAGTTAAAGCGAAACTTCAGCCAAAAAGGGAAGTTCTGCTTGTTTGCATCCATAACTTCCCCCCCATTCTTTAACAAATGGCACTTTTCGGGAGCAGGGCAGATTGCTCCCACTTCTGGTTAGATCTTCTGAGGCAATCTGAGCAGAAGTTTGCCCCCCCTGCAGCCTTCTGGGACACATCACAGGTTCCAGAGGACTACGGTGCCATGCACAAAGCACAGTGAGGCTCATGCATGCACAGTGGGAAACGGTCTGTGAAGCCGCAAGGCTTCAATGCTGGTTTCCCTTAGTTAAGATGCTTGTGCCTGGACCCGAAGACGATTGAAGAATCAGCTCGGGTGATGGCAGTGCTGGATCCCTGGACAAGCAAGTGTCCTATTAAAAGTCAGCAGCTACAGTATTCTTAGCTGTTGACTTAACAGAAAAAGATGGATATTTACAATGTCACCTTGAGGGAATGAGCAGACAGCATCTGCTGCCCTCCTGGTAGCAGGGTTGCATTAGTCATCATGCTGTCATAGGCAATCTTCATTGAAGTCTTTTTGTACAAACTAATACTAGAGTGTGCTGTTGGAGGAACTTTCAGCTATACAAACCATCAAACAGGAGAACAAAGCTTCATATTTCCTGCATTATATAGTCTTCTGACTCCTCTCACAATCCCTTACACCACTTTTCCACTACAGTTTTCTTGCTGTATTTGGTTACAAGTGTCCAGAGGTGGCCAGAAGAGAAAAATAAAGGAAAAAATGATCACAGCTTGTAAATACTGAGGTCAAGGATTGCATTATGGTAAGACATGGCTGTGCCAGAGGGAAGGCAAAAGTATAACTTGCCATCTAAACATGACAAAGCCATATCCCAATATACATTATGCATTTTGAAAATAATACTAGCAGGAGACCCTTCATTTTGACTGAACTACAGGTACACAATTAAGAGCCCATAGTAGCACATTTCTGGATCAGAAAGGAACAATGCACTAAGGAAATGTTTAATTCTTCTGATCACTGAATTTTTCTTGTATGATACCAGAATGTATGATTTTCATTTAATGGTACAGTATTCGTTCGAAAAAAAAATCTGATGACCAAGACCGCACATGCTCAGAGCCGAATACATTACAATACTAACAAAGTTGTATTCTATTGTATGAGAATTTTTGTAACTTTATTAACCTATTAATTTTTTATGTGAGGCTAGCATGCAAAAAAAAAAAAAAAGGAAGGGCAATCATTCGTCCGATATGCTCATCGTGTGTACGAGGCTTTAATGTGTGGTATTTTGTGAGTTAAAGTGTTGCTAAACCCAGAATTCACGATATCTGGTCTCCCACAGTACACAGAACAGGGAAATGCAATTATTTTAGCAAAACAAACCGCTAAATAGCTTTTTTCTCCTCAGCAGTATATAGCAGTCTTGTGACTTCTATCAGTGTCCAGCTGAGCACTGGTTAATTTTTTTCATTCTCCTCTGACTGTCCTATGAGGCTGCATGAATCCTGACCAATGCAGAGGATTAACCCCTTAGGTTCACCAGCGAATACAACAAGCGTGCTTTACTGCATATACAGACTGATTTTACTGTTGTGGATAACACTTTAACATGTTGTGTTAAGACAGGTTGTGAATTTAAAATGGCATATCAATGCATAACAATAGAAGAAACTTTTTCCCTCTAGCACACAACACATGACATTGTGTGCTATCTGAACTGTGAAACATTCCTCAATGGTCTGAGTACCCTTATCAGACCACGGGCAATCAGCAGTGGATGTGCACCAACTGCCTACCCCCTCCTGCCCCTGAATCATATTTCTCTTGATTAACCTCTTGTCTTCTTGTTCAGCCATCAAGCTGCTGATCGTTTTCAAGCTGTATAAGCCTGCTAAAAGCTCAGACAGATAACTGAAGAGAAGCTAAAGTGTACATAAATTATGTCCTTTTTAAACCCTGGCCACGTAATTAGGGATTCATTTTTGTTGCTCCTTGTTTTTCCTCAAATACATTATTTTTTCCACAGATCATCCACCTAGAATTCATAATCTCATTCATGTGGCAGGGTCCCGAGAGCTTTAAATGTAACAGGTTTGGTCAAGTGACAGTTATTTAACACCAATGTCCTTAGAAATAGTGTTTTTCCCTACTGTTAAATAATGGGCAACTCTGTTCCAACTACACTTACAATCAATGAAAATATGTTTTATTGATCTTGTAGAAAATATATATATAGTGTTAGTTTTGAAAAAAAAACTAGTGAGTGATTTGAATCCCTGCCAGGTTCTTACTGCTGTTATGTCCCCCTAGAGATCTTGACCCACACTATTTGTCCTTATGACCCCTGCAGCTAGGACTGAGTGTGAGGGAAAATCTTTTAGTGGGGACACATTTTCTCTCACTTTCTGAGGGCAAGAAGTTAAGGTAGATCCTCCAATGGGACCCCAGTGGAACACAAAAAACACAAAAAAAAAACAAAACAGTGGTTTAAACAATTCCCTGCTTTATTCCATAATGTTGATTTAGATGTGCTTTTAAAGCACTTTTCACTTTTTTTTTTTAAATAACAAACCTGTTCTGTGCTATGGTTTTGCACAGAGCAGCCCGAACCTCCTCTTCATGGGTCTCCCACTGATGCTCTCCGCTCCTCCCTCTTCTTGGTGGGCCCCCATAAGAAGCCACTTCCTATGAGGGCCTACCTGTGGGCTTGCTTCTGAGCTGCGCTGCCTGCATTTACAAAGACACAAACAGCGCTGCTTGGCCCTGCCCCTGCTCTTAGAAATTGATTGACAATAGTAACAGCATATGGCTCCCACTGTTGCCTCTGAACAGAGAGAGAGGAGAAAGCTGCTACAGACAGGCAAGCACAGTGCTAGATCGAGAAAGGACTCAGGAAAGTATACAGAGGGATGAGGAGGCGATACAGATGCAGATACATTTTTTACCTTTATGCAGGGAATGCATTAGTGTACAAAATGCCCAGCCTTTACAACCACTTTAATGATTGTTTAACTTTTAAAATATACCAGCACTTCTCCCGAGTATCTAACTCTTCTGGGTAGTATTATATTGCAGCACAGTGTTTATTTTGCCAAGCTGTGATTATGGGTTATGGTTATTTACTTTATCATACCATACTGTATTGTTCAGTTGAAAGAGGATACAGATCTATGTCAATTCATTTACTGAGTGATAATTGTCTCTAGGTTCCTACACTGGATCTCCCATGCCCTCTCTCAACTGCAAGGGCTTAAATTGGAATTACAGACTGTGACGGGAGTGACTTTGGGTGGGGGGCCCATGGAACACAGCCCCCTTTGGAGGGGTGGGGAGACCCCTGTCTCAGCTCCCCATATCCCTCTAATGTGTAAGTCATCCTGTGCCTGTTAGGGGTACAGGGTGGAATGTCCTGATATTGTGTAGACATGTATAGGTGGGGGTGGTTCATTGTTTAATGCCATGTGGTTTTATCCCATTGTTCTATTGTGTGTCTTGCTTGGGAGGAAACTATTATGGGATGTATGTGTTTTTGTATTGGCTTGGTGGGGGGTGTCTGCTGTGTGTCTCTTGTTACTAAATGTATTGCCCCGCCCTGTGTATATATCTTGTATCTATGTTAAAATAAAGCAGTCTATTTTCTGGTTTCCTTCATGTCTGGTGTTGTCTCCTCTTGTATTGTCAGCGGTGGTGTCCGTGGATCTGTGTTCAGACACGGAAGCGGTATTAGAACGGGAATACTCTAGTGCAGTCGGGGTCCGGTTCTGTTACATTAAAATGGGGTGTGCAGCGCTATACAGATAAACACACTGTCATAAATATGACAAAAAGTAGAAAAGGTCCTATAAACTGAATGGTAAACAGTCCGAGGTAATATGATATCAATCCAAATAGGTATATTCCAGTGATGGAGTATATATGACTTCAATCCAAATGTGTATATTCCAGCATCCTAACATGAAGGTGTAGAAAAATTGCCCACTCACCGGAAGTGCAATTTAATGTGCACATAGAAATTCCATGTACCCGGAGGTCCTGTGAAGGTACAGCCTGATGATAAAGGTATCCTCTGGTGGTTAATGAGGTGACGGCTGCCAGGGATGATGGTCTGGACCTATTTCCCAAATCCTCCAGCCTGGGCAGACTCCTGGAAAGCTGGGCTGAGATGTGAAGGCTCAGTGCCAGGTAATAGAGATGAAAACGCTCATGGTGTAGTAATGTAAAATTTATTTATTCAGGTATAAATCATTATGGTAAAAAGTAAGCGTACAGGGTGATAGTAACCTATACAAATATAATGTTAATGAGCTCTTGAATGCACTGACCAGTGGATAAATATGATGGCCACCAGACCTCCTGATCCAGTGGCGTGACGTCAAGGCGTGCAGAGGCTCCTCCTAGACGCGCTTCGTGTAATAACACGTCTCCTGTAGGGGTTCTGTTACATTGGTGGCAAGCGGTGGGATTGTGCTTCCAAGCTGTGAACATGTCCAAACCACCACCAGGATTCAAGATCAGGAAAGGAGACGTCGGTCACCCCAATGGAGATATGGACCTGGCATCAGAGTTCCCAGGGCTGCTGTGGATCGTTCTTGCAACATACCCCAGGACTGTGTCTGCAGATCAGTAACTGGAGCTCAGGGAGCGGATTTGGGAGGTGCTTTGGAGAGAAGCCCTCCAGGTTGCTGGTATGGACAAGGGCAAGTGCTATCCAACCCCAGGGGAATGGGCCAGGGACCATCGGATGTTACGGATGCCATTCCTGGGAGAGCAACCCCAGAAGCAATGGGTGACCGAGTTGGACAGGCTGGTCCAGCAGGAGATAGAGCTGGACAACAGATATCTGGCTTTGCAATGGTACGCAGAGCAGGAATATTTAGGGGTGACAACCGAATGCTCTCCAGACGGATATGACTTTGGTGGCCCTGGATTGCTGTGGGAGAGCCTTACAGATGATTTTGTGTTTGGCGATGGAGAACCTACCCTTGAGGACCTGCGAGAAGACAGAGAGGCTATGTTCGGTCTCACAGGGGTCTCAGAGCTTAAACCAAATCTGGAATACCTGCTGATGAAAGAACAGGATCTGGAAAGGGTATACAGGCAACTGCTAAAACATGTTCAGCAGCATGCCCAAGAATCGGTATTGGAAATGACAGAGATTGGGGATTCAATTGACTTTTCTGCTGAGGAGGAACCAGCCAGTGCGCCTCCAGCAGAAGAGCTGGCATCAGGGCATGGCATTGTTGACCTCTGCCTACAACAATCAGCACCGCAGGAGCTACAGGAAGAGGATGCAATCGGCACCTCACAATGGCAACCTGAACTGATGTCCATGGATGGGACTTTGGTCTCCACTGACACCACCCCAGAAAAGGGTCTGGCATTGGGACAGGAGGATGTCAGCCTTACTTTGCAAACACTGGGGGATGTCCATCAAGTCAAAGTGGATGAGAGTACAGTCACCACCTGGATACCCCAGGGATGCTGAGCAGTGTGGCCCAGATCCCCAACAGTATGATGCAGTCGGCCCAGCCACCCTGTCTTCTCTTCAGCGACTGAGAGGACTTCAGCCCATACCATAGAGAACAATGGGTGGTCTAATCAGGTCCGCCTTAAAAATGGACAAGCAGATCCGATCAGCCTGCTTGTGTGGAAGGGTCCTTAGGTGTGCTGCAGCACAAGGAACATGCTGGTAGTAGGATGTGACGGGAGTCACTTTGGGTGGGGGGCCCATGGAACACAGCCCCCTTTAGAGAGGTGGGGAGACCCCTGTCTCAGCTCCCCATATCCCTCTTATGTGTAAGTCACCCTGTGCCTGTTAGGGGTACAGGGTGGAATGTCCTGCTATTGTGTAGACATGTATAGGTGGGAGTTGTTTATTGTTTAATGCCATGGGGTTGTCCCATTGTTCTAATGTGTGTCTTGCTTGGGAGCAAACTATTATGGGATGTATGTGTTTGTGTATTGGCTTGGTGGGGGGCGTCTGCTGTGTGTCTCTTGTTACTAAATGTATTGTCCCGCCCTGTGTATATATCTTGTATCTATGTTAAAATAAAGCAGTCTATTTTTTGGTTTCCTTCAAGTCTGGTGCTGTCTCCTCTTGTATGGTCAGCGGTGGTGTCCATGGATCTGTTTGGACAGGGAAGTGGTATTATAACGGAAATACCCTAGTGCAGTCGGGGTCCAGTTCTGTTACACAGACAACACTTCAATATTAAAGTTTTGGATAGGATAAACAAAAGTTAGATATTCTGTCTATTTCTTATTGCAGACCTTGCGAGTCTATTAGAGATATTTATCCTCTATTCCTCCGGGTACTCCAGTTTCCTCTCACTCAAAAGACATGCTGGCAGGTTGATTCTCTCCTATTTAAAATTGGCATTAGTACATGTATGCATGTGAAATAGGGACCTTAGTTTGTAAGCTCCTCAAGGGCATGGCCTGCTCAGCGAATGAACACTATGTTAAATACATACCTGTAATAACATTTTCCTTGTGTCAGACACCAAGGCAGGAAGTAATAGAAAATCTTCCCAGCATGGCTACAAGCAGCAATAAAAAACTCATTCTTACCCACCACCCTTACCAACTTCTGAGATTGTGAGAGTGTAGGTCCTCTTTTCAGTGTCACAACCTGAGAGCAAAGAGCTCCTGTCAATGCTGATGTCTCTGCATACTTGCACCATTCTCTTTCTGCTTGACATTTGTCACAGCAGCTCTCTTGTGCTGTATGGGTAAATGCACCTCAATGAATAGCCAGAAGCGGACTGCAAAAAAATTACATCAAACTCATGGCTACGGCTTGCAGTCCAGGCTTTTTGTACTTAAAGTGGTTTAATATGGTGTGTACTACACAAGTAGCATGTTTCACCAATATGTGCATTGTGTGGTCATGCTCAATTCATTGCAACTAATCGTAACTTAAAGTGGTTGTAAAAGCTCAAGGTTTTTTCCCTGCATGCATTCTATTCATGAAGGTAAAAAACCTTCTGTGTGACATAGCTGCCCCCAACACTTACTTGAGCCCCATCATGATCCAGTGATGTGTACGATAGCCTTGGCTATCAGGGGACTCTCCCTCCTCATTGACAGACAGCAGTGGAAGCTGCTGCTGTCAATCACAGCCAGTGAGTCAATGAGGAGTGAGAGGAGGCGGGGCAGAGTCGCGGCTCTGTATATGAATGGATACACAGAGCAGCAGCTCGGGAGCCCCCATAGAAAGTTGCTTATTCTGTGGGCACTCAGCAGGAGGGAGGAGCCAGGAGCACTGGCCAGGGACCCAAAAGCAGGATAAGGCTGCTCTGAATAAAACCACTGCACAGAGCATGTAAGTATGACATGTTTGTTATTCTTTTTAATTGCCTTTAATATCACTTTAAGCAACTTGCACTATATGGAAATGCTTGTTCCATATCTTGAACAACTTGTTACTCACCAGTGACTTTACTGATGCCTTTCTATACCAATAACTCTGCTCCTGTCATGTGGAAGGAGAATGCTTAGCAAAACTCATAAAAAAGACAAAGATGTACACACCTGTCTAGATGCAGCTTGACCAACCAACCAATTTAAAGTGGCCAGAATTAGCCAAGAATAGATCCAGTGTTTCATGGGCTGGTAACACAATGAACTTCCAGCTTGATCTCTTTGCAAGACGTCTCTGCCACTCTAACAAAAGTTACAAAGTTGTTTAAAAGGTTCTCAGAATTGGCACCCCTGCACATCCAACCAGTCTTAAAGTTACTGAGTAAATATTTCCAATAATAAATAAAATGTGTATCAGAGATATCAATCTGGGAGAATGTTTTACACGTGATAAAGTGGCAAAAACTGGGTTGTCGCAAATTGTGTGGTTTTAAAAAAAAAAGCACTGCATGTAAAGTATTTACATACAACAAACAAAATGAAAGAAATCATATCCTCTTGGTGTACAGACCCTTTCACACTGACAGTCCGATCAAGTCTGCCTGTCAGTTTTTCAGGTGGACCGAATCAGACCACCCATAGCGCTCTATGAAGCAGCGGGTATCAGTGGACATGTGTCTGCTGGCATACAATCTGATCCTGTCAGCTAAATACAGACGGATTGGGATTCGTCCCCCATCAATTCAGCGGATCGGGTGACAGTTGAATGGAAACGGACAGGCGGTCTGTTTCCACCTGACTTCCCCATTGAAAACAGCAGACTGTTTATTACATTTATTATATTTTATACAATTGAGTTTGGCTGGTTATATATACACACACACACACGGTATATACAGTGTACATATACAGTAATTAATTCTAAAACAATAAACACCATAAATAACATTATAAACCTCTCGGGGCTTGTCCACAACAGCAGCGGCATTGACCTATGGCTTTAAGTCACCCCAACACACAGCACACACCAATACACTGTAATGCATTGCAACATAAATTATGTTATGTTTTTGCCTCCCCAGCACAGCAGCACACTGGACGTTTTGATAACGCTGGTAACGTTATCTGTGTAAAGTTTTTTTTTTTTTGTGGTTTTGCATTAGCATTTAGCGGTGTTTTGTCGCGATCAGCATACTTTTTCCACGTTTGTGTTTCTTAGCGTTTTGACAAATAAAAAATTGGGGGGTAAAAAACACGTTCCAAAAATGCCGGTTTGCGTTTTACCGCAGTTTGCCGCATTTTTCAGCGTTAGAGCATTTTTACAGCTAATAAACTCCTCTAGAAACCCACTAGTCCTAGGTTTTTTTTCCAGCCAAAAATGTTGATTACAGTTTGTGTGCATGGACACAAAGGATAACATTATAAGCAAATCATATTCTGTAATAACAAAATATTAGTGCAGCGCTCTGTAAAATAGATAATCAACAAACAAATCCATAAATCAAAATTCTTATGAGTCCCTATGATTAAGTCTGGAAGTGACGAAACACGTCAGGGATTGGCCAAGCGTTAAGCGGAAGTGACGAACATTGGAACCGGAAGTGACGCGGGCCTGTCTGAGAGCGAGGACCAGCAGTGGTGAAAGCATTGTACGTTCTTCCCTCTCTGATACTACCGACATATGGAGGTTTTCATATCTTTTGGCTTATTTTAATTCATTATCTTGTAAGTGAGATTCTCTGGGCAGAGATTAAATGGTTTTAAATGGTACTGCACCATGCTGGGTCTGTATCTTTTTTCTGTCTGTGGAGAGTCAATTTCAGAGGCAATAATATTGGAGAATTTGAACCATTCTTGGTAGGAATCGATTTCTGATCTGAGAAATCACCTTTACTCTGGAGGAATATAAATATATACAGTTGTGTTCAAAATAATAGCAGTCAGACATCACTAACCTGATCAATCACTGTTTTTGGTAGAAATGATATTTCTACATGGCAAATAATTTACTAGCAGGTGTAGTAGAGTAATAGAAATCCAACAGACCCAACAGTTATGACATGCATGCTGCTGATTCTGTGTAATTGAATCACTAATTGAAAGAGGCGCGTTCAAAATAATAGCAGTGTGGAGTTCTATTAGTGAGGTCATTCATTCTTTGAAAAACAGGTGGCAATTATTGCCCTTATTTAAGGAAGGAAGGCAGCAAATGTTGTACATGTTGGTTACAGTGCATTTCTCTCTGAAATTCTGAGGAAAATGGGTCATTCCTGACATTGTTCGGAAGAACAGCGTACCTTGATTAAAAAGTTGATTGGAGAGAGGAAAACATATAAAGAAGTGCAGAAAATGATAGGCTGCTCAGCTAAAATGATCGCAAATGCTTTAAAATGGCAACTAAAACCTGAAAGACGTGAAAGAAAGTTAAAAACTACCATTCGAATGGATAGAAGATTAGCCAACAATCAGCTCCAGGAAGATCAAAGAAGGTCTAAAGTTACCTGTGAGTACTGTTACAATTAGAAGACGCCTATGTGAAGCCAAGCTATCTGCAAGAAGCCCCCGCAAAGTCCCACTGTTGAAAAAAAGACGTGCTGAAGAGGTTACAATTTGCCAAAGAGCACATTGACTGGCCTAAAGAGAAATGGCGCAACAGTTTGTGGACTGATGAAAGTAAGATTGTTCTTTTTGGGTCTAGTGGCCGGAGACAGTTTGTCAGACGACCCCCAAACACTGAATTCAAGCCACAGTACACTGTGAAGACAGTGAAGCATGGTTGCGCAACCATCATGATATGGGGATGTTTCTCATACTACGGTGTTGGGCCTATTTATCACATATCAGGGATCATGGATCAGTTTGAATACATCAGAATACTTAAAGAGGTCATGCTGCCTTATGCTGAAGAGGAAATGCCCTTGAAATGGGTGTTCCAACAAGACAACGACCCCAAACACACCAGTAAACGGGCAACATCTTGGTTCCAGACCAACAGGATTGACGTTATGGAGTGGCCAGCCCAATCCCCGAATCTTAATCCAATAGAAAACTTTTGGGGTGACATCAAAAATGCAGTTTCTGAGGCAAAACCAAGAAATAGAGAAGAACTGTGGAATGTAGTCCAATCATCCTGGGCTGGAATACCTGTTCACAGGTGCCAGAAGTTTGTTGACTCCATGCAACACAGATGTACAGCAGTTCTCAGAAACAGTGCTTATACAACTAAATATTAATTAAGTGATTCAAAGGAAAGCAAAATCTTCAAACATTTTTCAGTTTATATAGTGAATGTTTGAGTTTGTAAAGAAGAATTACAAACACTGCTATTTTTTTGAACAGTCTAATATTCACTTTTCTTAATTTTTTTTTAGAGGAACAACACAAATTTGATATATTTTTCTTCATGTTTTGATTAGGAATAGAATGTGTAGTGTTCCCAATGCATTTGTGTGTATGGAAATAAAAGCTATTAGAAGGATTTTGAGCTTTATTCACTTTTTTTCAACATTATTATTTTGAACACAACTGTACAAAAGCACATTTGCCAACCATGAGAGTGAGAGGCAAATAAATTTGGTGAGTGCACACCTGAAGGGGGAGCACGACACATTGGAGAAAATATTTAACCACTAGCCTACAGGGCACTTATACCCCCTTCCTGCCCAGGCCAATTTTCAGCTTTCAGCGCTGTCACACTTTGAATGACAATTAGCGCGGTCATGTAACACTGTACCCATATGAAAATTTGTTTTGTGACAGATAGAGCTTTATTTTGGTGGTATTTAATCATCATCTGGGTTTTTTTTTTTTTTCTTAAACCAAAAACCACTGAAAATCTTGGAAAAAAAAAAAACATTGCTTCTTAGTTTTTTTTATAAAATTTTGTAATTAAGTGATTTTTCTCCTTCACTGATGTGTGCTAATGAGGCTGCAGTGATGGGCACTGATAGGTGGCACTGATGAGGAGGCACTGGTAGGTGGAACTGATGGGCATTGACAGGCAGCACTCGTATGGCACTGAAAGGCAGCACTCGTATGGCACTGAAAGGCAGCACTCGTATGGCACTGAAAGGCAGCACTCGTATGGCACTGAAAGGCGGAACTGATAGGTAACACTGATGGGCACTGATAGGCGGCACTGATGCACACTGATAGGCAGCACTGACTGGCAATGATAGGTGACACTGAAAGGCAGCTCAGATGGGCACCGATATGTGGAATTGATGTGCACTGGTAGGCACTGAAATGTGGCACTGATGGGCACTGGCAGGTGGCATGGATGAGCACTGACAGTTGGCACTGATGGACACTGACAGGTGGTACTGCTGGGGCTACACTGATCATCAGGGCACACTGATCAGCAGTGCCCTGATGATCAGTGTACATGTCCCCTCTGAGGAATGACGATTACCGGCTCTCCTCTCGAGCTGCCAGATTGACAGCTCGCGAGGAGAGAAATGACGATAACCGGCATTTCCCTGTTTACATGTGATCAGCTGTGATTGGACACAGCTGATCACATGACCGAGCCGACATCATCAGCTCTTTCCATGGATCGGTGATCCGCTGTGTCCGAGGGACACAGCGCACTGCCGATCGCCACGCTGCGCGCTCCCGGAGCCACGCATGCATGGTTAGAATGGGAGGACGTCATATGACGTCCTCCCAGAATGAGAGAACCGCCTTGCGCCTGTCATTGTACTATATGGCGGGCGGGAGGCGGTTAAGCAGTCACGTGGTGATTTTCTGGCAACTTTGATTTAATTCACATGGTGATCACAAAAGGACTTTGATTTATGGATTTTTTTGTTGATTATCACTTTTTTATTTACAGTTTTGCACTAATATTTTGTTATTACAGAATATGATTTGTTATATAATTTTTTACAGTGGAAAGTGGCAGCTGATTATTTGTTTTGCAGTATACACAATATTTTTATAGCGCAGCTTGTATTTAGAAGGTCATTTTTCTTTTTGACCTAGAGAAATACGGTGATTTATACATAGGATAACATGCTGGGGGTTTTACAAGCTGTAGAACAAAATGCCAAAAGCCAAAAACAGCAGCTGCAAAAACGTCAAGTGTGCATGAGGACTAACAGGTACAATAATTTGCACTGTGTGGTACAAAACAAGCCCTTACATAAATAGCAGCAATGCAATTTTCAGTATAGACATTCAGGATGATGGCTTTCAGCTTTGACAGCAGAGATTTAGGAAGTAAAATGCCAGTTCTATTGAAGAGCTGTGAGTCAGCATTCTGACATTAAAACTGCATGCCTGGATGAAAACATTGGCCAGAGATATGCACTATGGATGAAAGTGGCATGGGAATGCAGTGAACAGCTGTGTGCTCTGTTTCAATATGTATTTTCATCAGCTTCAGCGCTGCATTAAATGAATCTAAAAAACACCCTGAAAGGATAAGTTCACCTTTTGTAACATGTTACACCCATATTCAGGGTGTAACATGTTACTGTAGGACCTACCCCAAACCCCCCTGATCCCCCGTAGTGGCAGCTAGTGGGGTATCTTCTACACCCATTAGCTGTCACATAACAAAAAAAAAAAAAAACCAGAGGCCGTGCGGGGCTTTGGCCGCCTAGCCCCGTCAATCCTTCACAGAGTTCTGTGAATGAGAAACTACAAATTCCGACAGCCTCAGCAGCTGTCTGCTTGTAGTTCTCAAAGAACTACCATGGCGCTGTCTGCCATCACATATTCTGGATTTGTAGTTCATTTTTAAAACTGCACCCAAATCTAATTAATTATAAATATGCAAAAAGATTGTTTTGGTAGTATCCGCCACAAAAGATCCAAAAACGATAGCAAGTTTACCCCTAAAAAAAGAAAAAAAAGCTGAAGCCTTTATTTTCATACAAAACTGGATTGTGGCAAAACAGTGAAGTAGTTTATTTTTTTTCCCCAGTACCATACCTTAAAAAGTAAATAGCAAAACAGAGTGCACAAAACATTTCAAGTCTACAAACTGACATTCCCAAAACCCTCTTATCTTCATATGCCCAATTATTCCCCAAATATTTAAAATATTTGGGGATTTAAAGTGGTTATAAAAGGCTTTTTTTTTTTTTTTTTTTTTTTAAATAACACACATGTTCTATTTACCTGTTCTGTGTAATGATATTGCACAGATTGGTCCCAACCCTCCTCTTCTGAGATCCCCCACTTGCACTTAGCTCCTCCTCTTTTTCATGAGCTATCATAGCAAGCTGGGATTTGAATGACAGCAGTAGGAGCCCACTGCTGTCTCAGAGTCATGTGAGGAGAGAGAAAAGACCAGCACCACTGCAGATGGGCACAGCAATGGATCAAGATAGGATGACATTTGTTACTTTAAAGTACAAGCTCTAAAGCCAACATTTTTTTTACTTTAAATACATTCCTTGCATTAAGTTTAGAAAAATGTTTAGGTATACATATTGCCCCCTTTATATTTACCAGAGCCCTCATTTGATCCAATGCCCGTCTGTAGTGTAGTAATTCACTTGCTGTTCTCATGCTATTGTCAGTCAAATCCTGTGACAAGGGAATGGGGGTGGTGGGGATGAGCGCTTCTCCCATTGACACACAGATGGCTAGGAAGCGAGCACACACGAGTGCCTGCAGGGCAAGCCACTTGCTCTGGGGGCACTCTACATGAAGGAGGGGCCAGAAGCACCGGCAGGGGACCCAAGAACAGGAGGATTGGGGATGATCTGTGCAAAACGGCACAGAGCAGGTAAGTATGCTGTTTATTTTAAATAAAAAAAAAAATCAAGCCTTTAATATCACTTTAAGATAAAAAATAGTTTTACCCAGTATCACTTTCAGGTATGCGTTTGGTTGAAATTGACTAGAGTCAGGACAGCACACAAACACTTGAATAGGCACCAAATAGACAGACAAGGCAGATTTTATCTTGAAATAAAAATTAGAGTGCGTTATGTAAAAGACAATAACTACAAACACTGTTCAGTGGATGGACAGTATGTAAGCAGCTTGGTTAGGCCGCAATATAAGAATGAGAAATGAATACATTATCTGAAAACAACCAAAAACAATTTTGAGCGCCGGGACTCCAGAATATGGTCTGCAAGCTTCAAGGTGCAAAGCAGGACAATCCCTGCAGCAAACATTAGACATTTGGCAGCTGATGGCCAGCTGTAGAAACATTGTGGCACCTTTACAGTGTTGGAGCACCAGAATAGACCAGCAGAGATAACAGGTTTTTATGGGGGGGTTGGGTGGATGACAATTAAACATTTTGCCTATAGAATCAGCAGCAGGGGTTTTGTAGTTACTGGTAATCCATTTTAATGAAAGTGTCTGTTCATACTATCAGGGGACAGGCAGATTCTCCTTCCTACAACAAAACCTTCAGCCGCTCTAATGGCCCTCTCAGACAGCACACTGGCTGCAGGGTAAGCCGGAAAGTTTGGCCCTACTTCTCCTTTAATAACAGCCAGCCTAATTTGAATCTGAATTTGACTGTAAATTGCTGATATATGTCCCTCATATTTTTTTCTTAGTCTAGCGTTTTCTGCAGTGCTTCACGAAAACGCACAATAGTCCATTTAACATGATTTCCTGTGAGACAAGTTCACATCTACATGATTTCACCCGGTGCATTTTTTGGAAAGGATCAGGGACTTTTTTTTTTTTAAACACAAAGCGTTACGTTTATGGTTCCATAGACTTCAATTGAGATGCTGCAGAAAAGCATGTAGTGCGTTTTTGATGCGTTTTAATCTGCCTAGCAACAAGAAAAAAACAAAAGCAAAAAACGCATCAAAAACACAAAGTGCACTGCAGAAACAGATCAAACGCAAACTGCATAGGTGTGAACCTAGTCTTAATGTTACTTGAGATGTAAAGAAAATCCTACAACTAGCAGTGTTTAGTAAGGAGAAAGAATTAAAATGTATTAAATTACATCTCCAGAGACAAGTCTGCATTACTACCACTTAACACCTATGTCAGAAACCCAAATCCTGAAAAAAGAAAAAAAATCTTTGGATTCTGTATAGTGTACTTACAACAAATTAGATAGGATTTTAAAGAAGCAATTTATATTTGGAAACAATTTAACTGAAACTGTCAGCCAGCCAATAAAGCAAGAAGACAGACTGTTTTTCTGAATGTGGACCTGGTGAATAACAGAATGAAAGATTGATAAAAAAGTAACTCAGGAAAGTCAACAGCTGTCATAACCACACTTACAGTTTCAAATATGGTCTGCTCTTTCTCATCACATATTTTCTAAACTGAATTCATATTTTCCTTTCACATATTCATGACTATTCATATCAGGACAAAAGTAATAAAATAGAACTTCCAGGGCTAAATGTTAAGGGGTAGCACCCAAGGGGTCATCAGCTATCCACAAAATACAAAAGTATGCATGCCTACCCACATGAATGGCCACCATGTGGGTAGACTTGTATTTTCTATAATAGCTACACTCAGAAAAATAACATGCTGTCAAACATGAGGGTAAAGTCAAAATCCAAATCACTAAAATCTCCTATAAACTTTACACACACACCGGCCACTTTATTAGGTACATCTGTTCAATTTCTTGGTAACACAAATTGCTAAATAAGCCAATCACATGGCAGCAACTCAATGCATTTAGGAATCTAGACGTGGTGAAGATGATTTGCTGAAGTTCAAACCGAACATCATAATGGGGAAGAAAGGGGATTTAAGTGACTATGAATGTGGCATGGTTGTTGGTGCCCAACGGGCTAGTCTGAGTATTTAAAAAACTGCTGATCTACTGGGATTTTCACACACAACCATCTCTAGGGTTTACAGAGAATGGTCCAAAAAAAAAAAAAAATATCCAGCGAGTGGCAGTTGTGCAGAAGAAAATGCCTTGTTGATATTAGAGGTCAGAGGAGAATGGGCAAACTGGTTCAAGATAATAGAAAGGCAACGGTAACTCATGTCAATATGGACCAAAATCTATAAAAAAGGAATGTTTCCAACACCTTCCTGAAGCTGTGCAATGAAGAATTAAGGCAGTTCTGAAGGTAAAAGGGGGTCCCAACCCGATACTAGCAAGGTGTACCTAATAAAGTGGCCGGTGAGTGTATTAGGTTATTGCAATTTCATATTTTTATTTTCTACCGTTACAAAAACACATCCAATTCAAAAATAAATAAAATTTCTTCATAAATTTAGGCCAATAATGTATTGTGCTACGCCTTTGGTAAAAAAAACAAAAAAAAAAAAAAAAAAAAAGTGTATATTAAATTAGTTTGCGTGAAAGTTATAACGTCTACAAACTATGGAATATAAATTTGAAAATTGATTGGTTCTGATGTACTGATGGGCTATCCCATGTCTTGAGGCTCTTAAAATGCCAGAAGAATATAAATGCCCCCAAATGACCCCTTTTGGGAAAGTAGAAAGTCTGAAGTATTTAGTAAGAGGCATGGCAAGTTTTTTGAAGTTGTAACAATTTGTCCCAATTTTCTAGAAAATGAAGAAATTACAATTTTC